CCCAGTTTCATTCCTAAAAGTGTATGTGTGTACAATCTCCATATACACTTATGTTCTCTCTACTCACCCCAAGGCGGCTTTAACCAACCCTCTCTCCTCGTCATGACCAGCTGTGCCGCACCCACCAAACACTGTAATTATCCAAAGTAAATTGGTAAACTTTGATCTGGTTACGAAAATTGAGGCAGTTGATTTTTGCCCTTAAACATTATCAGATTATATATTTTTTTTATAGAGAAACAGTAGTCACGTTATTCATGTAGCCTTAGGGTATATTTCTGTCCATGTAACGGCGTCTATCCTCTGACTGGTTGAAGAAAATTTAGTGGTAATATAGAAAAAGACCTCTCGACGGAATTGCTACAATCGATCTGCCATTATTTTCAGTTCCTAAGGCGTCAGAGCGAGAAAGTTGCCACGATAACACAGAGTTTTATATTCAACATATTTCAACTGCTCTTATCTATATACACCTATAGCTACACACCAAGATACACTCACATAGTTGTACACAAACATATAAACACCGTACTTTTGTTACTGTTATGTCTTATATACTATATAATATCTGCTGAACAGACAGAACACAAAAAGTAAATAGAATAAATAATAGTAAATGAAGGTTAGGAAATGAAAATTTTCAGTAACACTGAACATTAATTTTATTCGTAAAGTGAAATTTTACAATGAGCGAGAAATTTAAATTTAGTGGGTAGAACTGTGACATGACCGTGGCCGCCACCTCTAGTAATAAATTATGTATAACACCTCGGCCCCTCCAGGCACCATTAAATATATCTGAGGTTTTATGGGAAAAAGGCCACCTATTATATATATATCGAGATAGTATTGTTATATACATTTAAGCAGGTATTCCAGAATTGGTGATCGTTGTGCATATCAATGAGTGTGTGACAAGGGACGTCAACAGCTATGGAGCGGAGAATTTAATTAAACTGATGACATAAAAGATGATTAGAAGCTTTTCACCTTTTGTTAATAAGTTCATTGATGGTCATGATAATTTTAACCAGTGATATAAAGGTGCTTGTATTATGTTATATATATATATATATATATATATATATATATATATATATATATATATATATATATATATATATATATATATATATATATATATATATAAAATAAGGACGTATTATGAGCTTCAAACAATTCCTTCACCTACATAATAAAGTTACTACATTTAGAGACTTCATATTCTTCCCTGTAGCTTCATTATGTACTGTATAGCCGTATCTCTGACGTCATGATTCCATCCGCTGCCACGTTTCCACTTTCCATCATGTCAAGTGAAGTTGGAATCCAATATCCACTTTTGTAGTATTTTTCTATCCTTGTCAAGTAGTTTGATCTCAGGTTTTCCTTATATTTATTTTATAATATAAGCACGTCCTTTATCCTTAATAGTTTAACTAAACCAATTGTAGAGGCTCTGGGCACTTACCCGAGTTACCGTGAGGACTTTCGGTGTGTGTGTGTGTGTGTGTTGAATATATCTCAATGGATGACTCACTTTTGATCAAACTTAAAACCAAGCTGGTATACTGACCAGGGGATAATCTCATTGGTGATTCACTCGCTCTTAGTCCAGGAATTTTGCAGACATAACCATTATCTCTGAACCGATTTACATATTAGCGAATGTTCACTGTATCTTGTCCGCTTGAATGACTTCAATCACCCGGCGATTGTTTGCCACCACGCCGTCGATGGGGGTGGAGGAGACTGCAGTGGGAGTGGGTAAACAAGGCGAAAGATTACAGGGAAGCAGTGTTAGGAATGATGACAAAACTAAATTAGACAGGGAGTTTAAAACTAAACGCGGTAAGGGGAGGACTCAGAACACGACTAACTTAAATGTATACTACGCGAACAGTAGAAGTATGAGAAACATAATGGATGATATTAAGGCCTTGGTATGTACCGAAGAAATCGATATAATTGCATTCACTGAAACATGGATCAACCTAGACACACGTGAATTACCAGTCGAATACCAAATTGCGGGTTACAAACTGTTCCATACCGATAGGCAGACCAGGAAAGGAGGCGGAGTAGCAATCTATGTTAGGGATAATCTGAAGTGTGAAATAAATAAGGAAATAAAAACTGAGAGGAATACAGAAACAATTTGGATAGAATTAAGCGACTGTCGGGAAAAATTAATCACAGGAGTAATATATAGACCCCCCAATCTTGATAGAGTCCATGAGCGACTTATCTGGGATGAAATGCGCAGGGCTTCCATACACAACAAAGTCTGTATAGTAGGCGACTTTAACCTTGGCCAAATAGATTGGACCGACCTTACGGGTAACTCAGAATCAGAGGATTTTCTCGAGACGATCCAGGACTGTTTCCTAAGTCAACATATAACCGAACCCACACGGGGTAATAATATATTGGATTTAGTTTTGTCAAACAGAGAAAACCTCATTAGCAATGTCGAGGTAGGGAACGAACTTGCAAACAGCGATCACAAAGAAATTCGATTCCAGTTAGATTTTCAGGGCAGACGTAAGGAAAATTCCACTAAAGTACCAGATTTCAGAAGGGCAAACTTTGACAGTTTAAAGAGGCAGCTGAGAGAGGGGGTGTCGCGCTTGGCCAACCTGACAGATGACACCGACCTGATAACGAGATCTGAGATTGCCGAGTTCCACGACAATTTAAATAGTGAGTTACTTAATGCACAAAGGCAGAACATACCATACAAAAAACTCAGATCAGACAACAACGACCCTAAATGGATAAATAATTATTTAAAGAACATCATTGGCCAAAGGAAGGCTATAGGTAGAAGGATAAATCGTGGCGAAATTCACCTCCGGACTATTATAGGGTATTGGCGAGTAGGGTTAAAACCGAGATAAGGAAAGCAAAGAGGAATAATGAGGTAAGGATAGCAAGGGAGGCGAAGACAAACCCCAAAGGATTCTACCAAATGTATCAAACTAAAACACGAGAAAAGATTGGACCAATACGGTCAGACTCCGGCGAGCTCACTGATAACGACGGAGAAATGAGCAATAATTTGAATAAATATTTTCAACAGTTTTCACCACCGAAAATTTAAACATGATACCCGAGGCACCGACTCTATTCAGAGATAGTGAAGAAAACAAATTAAGTGAGATAGTAGTGACTAGTAACGATGTTAGTAAGCAAATAGACAAACTAAAGCCTAATAAGTCACCTGGTCCCGATGAGATATTTGCCAGAGTATTAAAGGAATGTAAGGAAGAGCTTAGTATGCCCTTAGCAAAGTTGTTTAACATGTCCTTAAAAACAGGTGTAGTACCAGAATCCTGGAGGATAGCGAATGTAATACCGATTTTCAAGAAGGGGGATAGATCACTATCTTCTAACTACCGCCCAATCAGTCTAACATCAATAGTAGGCAAATTACTGGAAGCAATCATTTCAAACTCTATTCGAAATCACCTGGAGAAGCACCGATTGATCAATGATTCCCAGCATGGCTTCACAAGCGGACGTTCTTGCCTAACTAATCTATTAACATTCTTTTCATCAGTTTTTGAATCAGTGGACGAGGGGCACAATTATGATGTGGTATATCTCGACTTTAGCAAAGCCTTCGACAGAGTCCCCCACGAAAGACTAATTAGAAAGGTAGAAGCTCATGGCATCAAAGGTGGCATCCTTAAATGGATTAGGGCGTGGTTACAGGACAGAAAACAGCGAGTGAGCATTAACGGCACTAAGTCCCATTGGAGCAACGTCACAAGTGGAGTTCCCCAAGGCTCAGTACTTGGACCATTATTGTTTATTATATACATAAACGACATAGATATCGGCATAGACAGCAACATAAGTAAATTTGCTGATGATACTAAAATAGAACGTGTTATAAAATCTGACGAGGACTCGGCAAAACTACAGGAGGATCTAAACAAATTTTTCGAATGGTCTGAAAAATGGCAGATGACATTCAACATCGACAAATGTAAAGTACTCAGTATAGGAAATGTAAACAGGGAAACCAGATACCAGATGAACAACGATGCCATAGAGAAATCCGACTGCGAGAGAGATTTAGGAGTAATGATAAGTAGGAACCTTAAGCCAAGTAAACAGTGTGTTTTTGCTCGTAACAAGGCTAATAAGGTACTTGGGTTCATACAAAGGAGTGTTAGTTACAAGACTAGCGAGGTCATCCTAAAACTGTATCTTGCTCTTGTGAGACCACACCTGGATTATGCAGTTCAGTTCTGGTCACCGTATTACAGAATGGATATAGAATCCCTGGAAAGAATTCAGAGGAGAATGACAAGACTAATCCCGGGCATTAGGAACCTTGAGTATAGAGACAGGTTAAAGCATCTTAATCTGCACTCCCTTGAGAGACGTAGAGCGAGGGGCGACCTGATAGAGGTGTATAAGTGGAAGGCAGGGCTAAACAAAGGGGACATTACAAAGGTACTCAAATTATCCAACCAGGAGCGAACTCGTAACAATGGTTTTAAATTGGACAAATTTAGATTTAGGCGTGAAATAGGTAAACACTGGTTTGGAAACAGAGTAGTGGATGAATGGAACAAGTTACCAAATATCATCATTAACTCGAATACGCTGAATTGCTTCAAACATAGGTTGGATGCTCATATGAGCAATAGGGGTTGGGTGTAAACGGGACTGCCCAGTATGGGCCAATAGGCCCGCTGCAGTTTCCTCCATTCTTATGTTCTTATGTTCTTATGTGACGGTAAATGGTTGCTAAAGCCTTTGAAACTTCTCACTGAACCTGAATTTTCAAGTTTCAACAATATTATCATAAGGTAACATTTAAAATCCACCTTGCGTTTTTGAGGTATTTTACCATAAGTGAAAAGACTCGTGATGGCTGTGTTGTCGAGGAGAGCATTAACATAATAAACTAAATAATATTGTACTGTAAATTAACACTAAAACCATTTTTTGTTTGTTCTCTCCCCAACAGTTGAGCCAGTCAGTGTGGTCATCAGCGGGGTGGAGAAAGGACTAGAGGCAGGGGCACGTCATGAGGTGAGGTGTGTCTCTACTGGGTCAAGACCTCCCGCTAACCTAACGTGGGACCTCGAGGGGGAACCTGATTGGTCACCAATTCAGGTCACCGAGGTCAGTAGCTGATTAGTCAGTTATCATTCCTTGACTGACTCCGTATACCACTAAATATACCTCCCACACCCCCACTACACCAGTACCTCCCTTCACCTCCACTATACCAGTACCTCCCTCACCTCCACTATACCAGTACCTCCCTCACACCAACTATACCAGTACCTCCCTCACCTCCACTACCTCGATCACCTCCACTATACCAGTACCTCCCTCACCCTCACTATACCAGTACCTCCCTCACACCCACTATACCAGTACGTCCCTCACCCCCACTATACCAGTACCTCCATCACACCCACTATACCAGTATCTCCCCACCCCCACTATACCAGTACCTCCATCACACCCTAACACTCCCTCACCCACTATACCAGTACCTCCATCACACCCACTATACCAGTACCCTCCCTCACCCTCACTATACCAGTACCTCCATCACACCCACTATACCAGTACCTCCCTCACCCTCACTATACCAGTACCTCCCTCACCCCTCCATCACCCCCTCCATAGTACCTCCGTACTATACAGTACAGTACCTCCATCACACCCACTCCACTACCCAGCCTACTCCCCTCCTACCTCCATCACTATACCAGTACCTCCCTCACCCTCCACTATACCAGTACTCCCTCACCTCCACTATACCAGTACCTCCGTCACCCCACTATACCAGACCTCCATCACCCCACTATACCAGTACCTCCCTCACCTCCACTATACCAGTGCCTCCCCACCCCTCCTATACCAGTACCCCCACCCTCCCATCCAGTACACACCCACTATACCAGTGCCTCCATCACCCCACTATACCAGTACCTCCCTCACCCTCACTATACCAGTACCTCCATCACACCCACTATACCAGTGCCTCCATCACACCCACTATACCAGTGCCTCCCTCACCTCACTATACCCACCACCTCCCCACCACCACCTCACCTCCCTCACCTCCATACCACCTCCCCCACCCCTCACCCACCTCCCTCACCCCATACCATGCCTCCCTCACACCCCACTACCAGTGCCTCCATCACACCCACTATACCAGTACCTCCCTCCCACCCACTATACCAGTGCCTCCCTCACAGTACCTCCATCACACCCCCACACAGCACCCCACCTACCCCACCACCACACTACATACCAGTACCTCCACACCCCACTATACCAGTACCTCCTACCCCACCAGTACCAGCCCCCACCCTCCACTATACCAGTACCCCACCCCACACCCCCACCACCTCCCTATACCAGTACCCCTCCACCTATACCAGCACCCCACCCCACTATACCAGCCTCCCTCACACCCACTATACCAGTACCTCCCTCACCCCCACTATACCCTCCCCCCCCACTATACCAGTACCTCCCCACCCCCACTAACCTGTACCTCCCCCTCCCTCACTATACCAGTGCCTTCCACCACCCCACCTCCATACCACCTATACCTCCCTCACCACCATATACTTACCTCCCACTATACCAGTACCTCACTATTCCTCCCTCACCTCCTACACAGCCTACTCTTCCTCCTCTTCTTTCCACCAGAACTACTTACCTCCTACACGTAGCCTCTGACTCGCCCTCGTTATATATTTCCTCGCGAAGCTGTGGTGAGAATTCTTTTGAGGAAGAGAATATCAAGACACAAATAAAGAGCAGACAGTG